GATGTCTCGGAAGTTTGACTTTCAAGATTTGTCCACAGTGACACTTACTCAAACCTGTAGTGCAGTGGTATCTAGACCTGTTGCTGAAAAGCTATCTGATCCAGGTAGCTTTACAATTCCATGCACTATTGGGAACTTTGCCTTTGCTAAGGCACTCTGTGATTTAGGGGCCAGCATTAATCTTATGCCCCTGGTTATTTATAAGAGGTTAGGCATTGGGAGAGCTAGACCCACCTCTATGTTGTTGCAGCTGGCCGACAGGACTGTGAAGCGTCCATTTGGGATCCTTGATGATGTGCTTATTCAGGTAGGGAAATTCGTGTTCCCCGCAGATTTTGTAATCTTGGATTGCAAAGTGGATGAAGAAATTCCTATAATCTTAGGACGACCATTCTTGGCCACGGGGAGAGCTTTGATTGATTGCGAGACTGGGGAGCTCAAGATGAGGCTCAATGATGAAGAAATTATATTCAATATACAGAAATCGATGAGGCGACCAAGTGAGTTCGCAAATTGTTCTCTTGTTGATGCAGTGGATGTAATAGTAGAGTCTGATGATGAGGCGTTGACGGTTGAGGATCCTCTTGCTGCATGCTTGACAAATTTGGATGAGGTGAATGGTGAGGATTTGGCGGAATGGGTGTTGGCACTGGAAGGTAGAGGGTTCTGGGATAGAAATCTAGAGTTTGAGCCCTTACACTTAGAAAAGAGAGAGACCCCTCCAGCAAAGCCATCCATCGAGGAACCACCTAAGCTGGAACTAAAGCCATTGCCAGCCCACCTCAGGTATGAATTTCTGGGTCCCGACTCCATATTACCTGTTATTATCTCATCTGGTTTGTTAGATGTGCAGGTTCAACAGCTTTTACAGGTACTAAGGGAGTGCAAAACTGCCATTGGGTGGACCATGGCAGACATCAAGGGGATCAGCCCCGCCTATTGCATGCACAAGATTCTGCTGGAAGAGGGGCACAAACCTTCCAGGGAACATCAGAGGAGGCTGAACCCGAATATAAAGGAAGTGGTGAAAAAGGAAGTGATAAAGTGGTTGGATGCGGGCATCATTTTCCCAATCTCTGACAGTAGCTGGGTTAGCCCAGTTCAATGCGTTCCTAAAAAGGGTGGCATGACGGTTGTGAAGAATGACAACAATGAACTAATCTCAACAAGAACTGTCACAGGCTGGAGAATTTGCATGGATTATCGAAAGTTGAATCTAGCCACCCGGAAAGACCACTTCCCACTTCCCTTCATAGATCAAATGCTGGATAGATTGGCAGGGAGGTCACACTTTTGCTTTCTGGATGGGTACTCAGGGTACAACCAGATCTCTATTGCACCTGAGGACAGAGAGAAGACCTCCTTCACTTGCCCATATGGTATTTATGCCTTTAGGAGGATGCCCTTTGGCCTATGCAATGCACCCGCCACATTCCAACGGTGCATGATGGCCATATTCACTGACATGGTAGAGGACATAATGGAGGTGTTCATGGATGACTTCTCAGTGGTGGGGAATTCATTTGAGGAATGCCTAATAAATCTGACGCGTGTGCTGAAACGGTGCATCGAGACCAACTTGGTTCTGAATTGGGAAAAGTGCCATTTCATGGTACAAGAAGGAATAGTCTTGGGGCACCGGGTGTCAAGCAAGGGAATAGAGGTTGATAGAGCAAAGGTTGATGTCATAGCAAAGCTGCCGCCACCAACTTCAGTCAAAGCCATAAGAAGCTTCCTTGGACATGCCGGGTTCTACCGGAGGTTCATTAAGGACTTCTCCAAAATCGCCAACCCTCTCTGTAAGTTGTTAGAGAAAGATCACCCTTTTGTATTTTCTGATGATTGCAAGGTAGCTTTTGAGGAGTTGAAGCAAAGGCTGGTCACAACACCCATAATCGTTGCCCCCCAACTGGGAGCAACCGTTCGAATTAATGTGTGATGCTAGTGACTACGCGGTGGGGGCAATGCTGGGCCAGCGGAAGGACAAATTGATGCACCCAATCTACTATGCCAGTAGGACGCTGAGCGGAGCCCAGTTGAACTACACAGTGACAGAAAAGGAGATGCTAGCTGTGGTATTTGCCTTTGACAAGTTCCGGTCCTATCTGATAGGATCTAAGGTAATCGTATACACTGACCATGCAGCTCTTAGATACTTAATAGAAAAGAAGGACTCTAAGCCACGCCTGATTCGTTGGGTGTTGCTACTACAAGAGTTCGATCTTGAAATTCGTGACCGCAAGGGCACTCAAAATCAAGTCGCTGATCACCTATCACGACTTGAAGGAGCTGAAAATGTAGTAGAAGTTGAGGAAATTCTAGAAACTTTTCCAGATGAGCAACTGCTCGCTACCACTCATCAGGAAGCGCCTTGGTAGACTATGCTAATTACCTGGCCAGTGGTATTGTTCCTCACGACCTGTCATCGGTCCAGAGGAAGAGATTCTTTCGTGAAAGCCAATTGTATTACTGGGATGAGCCCTACTTGTTTAGAATATGCCTTGATAACATGATCCGGAGATGCGTCCCCGAGATCGAACAATCTTCTGTCTTGCAGGCTTGTCACGCTTCGGCGTATGGCGGTCACTTTGGAGGAATCAGGACAGCAGCTAAGGTGCTAGAGGCCGGATTTTTCTGGCCAACAGTGTTCAAGGATGCTCACTTGTGGGTCAAGGGCTGTAATGAATGTCAACGCACCGGGAACATTTCCCGGCGTCACGAGATGCCCATGAACCCAGTTCAAGAGGTGGAAGTGTTTGATGTTTGGGGGATAGATTTCATGGGTCCCTTCGTCAGCTCCTATGGCAATAAATACATTCTTGTTGCTGTAGACTACGTGTCCAAGTGGGTGGAAGCTGCAGCATTACCCACCAATGATGCTAAGGTGGTGGTCGGGTTTCTAAAGAAGAACATATTCACCCGCTTTGGGACACCGCGCGCAATTATCAGCGACGGAGGCACTCACTTCTGCAACCGGGCCTTCGAGAAGTTGTTGGCTAAATATGATGTGCGCCACAAGGTGGCTACTCCGTACCACCCACAGCTAGTGGACAGGTTGAGGTGTC